GGGGGGGGGGCGGGGATTTCTCACTCTCTCTCTCTGCCTCTCCAGGAAGCACACGTGCCCTGTAGCAGAAATCCATCCCAAAACAACAAAGCGATCAGCAGTGACCTACCCCAAAGTGCACTGAAAGGGGCCGACACTTGTCCAAGTGTGAGCCAGACTGTACCAGCCAGAACCGATGCCAAAGCAGCAGCCGTCATTAATAATGGAAACCTCCCCATTAATAAAATGTGTATTTATTGAGAGCTCACTATAGGTTCTGCAGGATTGCTCCCTTGACGAGTAAACCATTTATTTGTTCATTAACCGGTTCATCCTCTCTGGGCAGTGGATACCCAGCCTCTAGGGAAACTACCCCATCCCCGAAGGTCAGTTAGGGCCCAGCTGGTGTCCGGTCTACACTATCTCCTACCCATTAGGTCTAAACTGCATGGAACAGGTAGGGCGTTGGGGGCCAGGGTCAACCTGACCTGCCTGCTCCCTTCGGAGTGCAGCCTACTTGCAAAAAGAAAAGAAAGCCGGGGTGAGGACGAGAGGGCCCAGTTCTCTCTCTCTCTCTTTTTCTTTTTCTTTTTTTGGAGAGGTTTTCGCTATAAGGCGCGTGCGCTTGCCAGACAGACAGAGAGAGACATAGAGACAGAAAGCGAGAAATCCCCCCCAGAGGGGATGGTCACGCCGCAATCCCTTCTCCTCCATTCTCCTCTCGGGATCTTGGGCACGCACGCACACATGCCCGGCGTGAGTTTTAAGCCACCGGGTCCGGGACGCGAACCGCGGTCGACTACGTGGGAGTCCAGCGGCATAGCCATTACGCTAACTGCTGGTTCCCGAGAGGGCCCAGTTCTCAATTGCGCTTCTCTGGCCCCAATGCCACTGGGCACCCTAGACTTCAGTTCCTCATTGTTAAGGAGGAGGATCCCTTAACTGCCCCACCGGTCAATCCCGAGGCCAGCTCTGGAAATCACTGGAACTTCACAACCACCAGGCCCCCTCTCCTGTGACCCCGCTGGCAAAGAAGGGACAGCACAGGACTTCCCGCCCATAGCACAGCTGCCGGAGGGCCACCCCTATCCGCGCGGTCCCGAGTTATTTTGGCGGCTTATATTTTATAGAACTTGAAGTGTTTGTTTCTGGTGTTGGGTTGTCACCAATCCGCTGTGAAACAGGCGTCAGAACGACACCGTGAGCCAGCCAGAGGTGTGATGGTTAAGGCAGCTGGATCCTGCGTGGCTAGACCCGCACCTTAGAAAACACCTGGGGCAGCGGGTATCCTAGCGGTGAAAGCACTGGACCTTCACATGGCTGACTGCGCTTTAAGTCCTCGACCCAGAAGCTTCAAAACCATTCCAGCCTGGGGCCAGCAGGTGGGGTCGTGGTTGGGTTACTAGACTTCCATGTGGCCAACACAGTTTGAGTCCCAGACCCGGTGGCTTGAAAATCCCACCAGGCATATGTGTGTGCATGCTCAAGATCCCAAGAGGAGAACAGAGAAGGGACTGGAGGTGATTTCCCACTTTCCCTCTCTGTCTCTCTGTCTCTCTCTCTCTCCTGTGAGCTCACATGCCCTAAGGCAAAAAGCTCTTAAAAAAAAAAAAAAAGAACAGTGAATGAATGTAAATAAATAAATTTAATAAAAAAAGAAAGAAAGAGAGAGAGAGAAAGAAAGAAAATCACTCCAAGTATGTGCATGTACATGCCCAAAATCCCTAGAGGAGAAAGGCGAAGGGACTGCAGTGTGGCCAACCGCCCTGGGGGGTGATTTCTATTTTGCCTCTCTCTCTGGGAAGCATATGCACCCTACAGCAGAAACAACAAGGAAACATGCTAGGCACATATGCGTGCATGCCCACAATCCCTAGAGGAGAATGGAAGAGAGGGGACGGTGGCATGGCCCTCCCCGCTGTGGCGTGCTTTCCCTCTCTCTCTGTTCCTCTCCAGTGAATGCACACACCCTATAGCAAAGTTAATAATAATAATAACAATAATAATAATAGTGTATTGAGACACAAGGACAGGGAAACAGGGAGGGACCCTGTTCAGGCTACTGAGGGGCCACCCGGACCGGGGGAGTGAAGGAGCTGCTGCTTCCAGATCACAAAAGGCCACACGTTAGGGCTTTTCCCACCGGACTTCGGGTGCAATTTCCTCTGACTGCCTCACTGTCAAAGCCCACGCTTACAAACACAAGGTGGGCACACGACACCGGATGACACAGGAGCCAACGCTGTCATGTCACTCGTTCCAACCTCAGCCGATGCTTTACACAGAAGCACAGATAAAGGGCAGGGCCACCCAGGGGGTCCGAGGGAGGGTCTAGAAACAGACTCTTTCTCAGAACCCAGCTCTGCTGCTCCACAGATGTGCACCCCGAGCAGAAGAGGACAGTCTAGTCTACACTTCAGCAACCTGGTCCGCAGTGTGAACGTATGTCAGTCTGGATGGTTGTGTGAGAATAAACTGGCTGAAACACGGACAGTCCCCACAGAGTGATGGCGCAAGGCAGCCGTTACTAAGAGCGATGCAAACTGGTACCGTTGTCCTCGGCATTGCCTTTGCCTTAAAACATGTATTGGGGGACCAGCAGTTGGCGTAATAGCTGTGTCGCTGGACTCCCATGTAGCCGACTGTGGTTCGAGTCCTGGACCCGGTGGCTTAAACTCACGCCGGGCGCGTGTGCGTGCGTGCCCAAGATCCCGAGAGGAGAATGGAGGAGAAGAGATTGTGGTGTGGCCATCCCCCCGGGGGGTGATTTCTCACTTTCTATCTCTCTCTCTGTCTCTCTCTCTCTGTCTTTCTGGTGAGCACATGTGCCCTATAACAAAAAAAAAAACTCTAAAAAAAATAAAAACAAAAAACGTGTATTAGGTTTATAGATAAAACGCCAAGATACCCTGGCTGCTAGAACATACCTATAATTCTTCCATTCTCTGCTACTGACATTTGTGGCTTGTAAGATCTGCCCTTTGTCAAGGCTCAGAGATTATATATTGAATTGTCTCTAGGTTACAAGGAGTTTTTTGTTTAATTTGCAATAGGGTGCATGAACTTGTCAGAGAAAGAGAGAAAGCACCCCCTATGGGAGACGGCCATGCCAGAATCCCTTCGCCTCCATTCTCCTTTTGAGATTGTGGGCATGCGTGCACATGCACCTGACATGTTTTTCATTCTGCCAGGTCCAGGACTCAAACCATGCAGTCAGCCATGTGGGATCCGGCCATCTTAACCACCACACCATCAGCTGGCTCTGTAAGAAGTATTCTTATGAAACATTTGAATATTTAAGTTCTGAAAATTGTCTGTAGATGGACTGAAAATGGCATTTCCAACTGTTAAATGAGTATGTTTGTGCGTGCGTGTGGTGGTGTTTTTTGTGTGTGTCCTTTCATTGTTCTTGTTATTTTTTAATCTGACCAAAAAGAGAGAGAAATAATGCGAGAAAGCAAGCCACTAGGTCTGGGACTCAAACCATGGTCAACCATGTAGGGGTCCAGCGCCTTAACCACCACGCCACTTGCCAGCCCCCTCTTTTTTTCTTTCTTTTTTTGGAGAGGTTCTTGCCACAGGACAGGTGTGCTCACCAGAGAGACAGAGAGACAAAGCGAGAAATCACCCCCCAGGGAGATGGCCACGCCGCAATCCCTTCTCCTCCATTCTCCTCTTGGGATCTTGGGCACGTACGCACACACACCCGGCGTGAGTTTAAGCCACCAGGTCCGGGACTGGAACCATGGTCAACGACATGGGAGTCCAGCAACATAGCCATTACACCAACCGGCCAGCCCCTTTTAAGTGTACAAGTTAGTGACATCACACACATTCACAGTGTCGTGGTGGAGCCATCATCACTAGGTGCTTTTTAAATAAGTGAAATTAAAAACATTTATCCAAAGTAGCATCCAGTTCACTTGAAATGCAGCAGGCTTTTAGAGGGAGTTTTCATAATTATCATTAGGGGCATAACTACCCTGTTTTCATAGCTGGCACCCCTAAAGCAAATGACTCATCGTCAATTACAGTTTATAGTTACATTTGAACTCTTTTTTCAAGACTGTACAGGTCATTTTGGCCGTTTCTCCTTACATATTTAAAACACATCAACATAGAGTATCTCATGTGCAGGAGACTTGCTAACCCTCCAATTCATCTCCAATCCCAGAGACGCTGACTTGTTTACAGGTTACCCCTCTCAGGAATGGTGATAAGCTGACGTGGTCTCCAACCCAGAGAGCCAGCACGGGTGCGGTGCTGCGGGAGTCCGCGCAGGTGAAACCGCAGAGCGGGCGGGCGGGCAGATCCATGGGCAGCGAGAAAGACCGCACGCTTGGAAGTCCGGCTCGTGCAAATCCTTCTGAGCAGTGCCCTTTGCCCAGGGGAGATACCAGATAACGGCTTGTCAAAGTAGGAAGTGACCGGGGCTGAAAGGTGGTGTGGTGGTTACAGTGCCGGATTCCCACACGGCTGACCTCAGTTTGAGTCCTGGGCCTGGTGGTTTGTTTTCTCTCTCTCATCAAATTAAAAAATAAATACATGAACAAAATTATGTAAATAATTCCTTTTAAAAAAGTGACCGGCAGGTGACATGGTGGTTAAGGCGCTGGATGCTCCCACATGGCCAAACATGGTTCGAGTCTCAGACCTGGTGGCTTGCTTTCTCACTCGCTATCTCTTTCTGGACAAATTAAATGAATGAATAAATAAAATTAAATAAAAAATAATTCTTTAAAAATAAATGCTAACCCTGACCAAAAACAAAGGTATGAGTGACTGTCTTCCTTATGGATTAGTTTGATTCTAACCACTACTCCCTGCTGAGAATGACTGTTATAAAGTTAAAGGGAGCGACCAGGGGATGGTGTAATGGTTATGTTGCTGGACTCCTGTGTAGTGAACTGCGGTTCAAGTCCCTGACCCGGCATCTTAAAACTCACACAGGGCATGTGTGCATGCATGCCGAAAATCTCAAGAGGAGAATGGAGAAGGGACTGGGAAGTGATTTCTCACTTTGTAACTCTCTCTCTCTCTGTCTCTCTCTGTCACTCTGGTGAGCACACACGCCCTATAGCAAAAATCTCTCTTTAAAAAAAAGTTAAAGAGGTAAAAGAAAACGCCCAACACTGTCCCTGGTGTCTCATCTGGTTCATTTTCTCCAAGGTAACATACAAGGCCCCCAACATCTTCTAATGAGCCAGTTCACCAATGATAAGTCGGGTTTACACCCAGGCTTCCCACGGTGGTAGGACAGGGAAGCTCAGACGGACTTTGGCCCCTTTCCAGTCACAAGAGATGCAAAGACAACACGGGACGTTCTGCAGCACTGTCCACAGCGAGACGGTCCATGCACCCTCGGGGTACACTAGATGACCACACGGTCCCACTGGAGGACACCGAAGCCTGTCTCTGCCAGTCAGCCGGTGTCCCAGGGAACATGGAATTAGCCCCAGTTCTGTCTGAAAAACGCGTCCCATCAATCTCTGGGGACAGACAGAGCCAGCTTGTATTCCGCATCTCACCTGCAGGCTGAGGACCACGACAGCAGGAGGGGGGACACTAAGGCTGACACCAACGGCCCAGGGTAAAACGCACAGCTGTCTGTCAGGCTCTGAGGTTGAGGAAGTCTCTCCAAACCCCCAGCTGGCCTGGCCCAGGGATCTGGCCTGGCCCAGGGATCTGGCCAGGCCCAGGGATCAGGCCTGTGTCTGAAGGCTGGCCGGGTGGGGAGGGTGGCTCAGCTTAGCACCAGGGAACTAAGGTGAGACTTTAACACCAGGATGCTGTGACCCTGTACCTAACCCTTAGTGAGTCCACAAACGGGTCTTCCAATGAGATGTTCAGACAGGTCTTCTAAGGGGCCCTCTGGCTCCTCCTAAACTCTGCACCAAGGCCGGCACACTTTGCCCTGGGACAGAAACGCCCCAAGCTCTCCTCTGAAGAGTGGACGCCAGAGAGTCCTAGCACCTGGAGCCCTGAGGGTCGGCGCTCAGGGCTTCCCTGACAGAGGGCCATGGGGCCTTGTCCCGCCACCCACTGGCCCCCTTGGTATAATCATCACAAGTGACAGCAAGGTGGCCTGGACTCCTGGCCCCGTCAGGGAAGCGCCGGCCCACACCATGTCATGACGGACCGTGGAGGAGCAAGCCAGGTGGGCTGTGGAGACCGCATCTGCTGGGGAGACGGCGGGCGGGGATGGCAGAGCCTGTCCACAACACGGAGAGTTTGCTCTCGCTCCACTCACTGGCTTTTAAGAGGCTGCTGCAACATCACCTCGCTTTCAAAACCTGCCTTGATTACGAAGCACAGAGCCGCTCAGGACCCCCACCCCCGAAACACGCAGAGCTGCCAAAGCCGGCCGCCCCCGGGCAGTCCAGCCCCGCCAGAGAGCCCGGACGGTGCGCGCCCGCCCTTCACCGCACAGCCGGCGGGGCGCAGGCTTCTGCGCGGCTGAGAGCGTTTCCAGCGTCCCTCGCTGTCCCCAAGCCGAGATGGATGCAGGGGAGAGAGGGGAGGCGGCGCTGGCTCCTGCATCCGGGCGGACAACGTGCTCCGCGGAGGGGCCGAGCGCTGCTACTAGTATTTCCGGGCGAGCGCGTTTGGGAGCTGGCCGCCTGGTCCCGAAGGACTGGG